CTGAAGAATCTTTTAAGTGTTCCACTTTATTGCAAGATGGGACAGCAAGCACACTGCTGCCTTTCTGATGTGATTCATTCACCCTACTCCTTTTCTTGAGAAAATCACACGGCTGATCATCATCAAGAGTTGGATGAACTGTCTTTTCTGTAGTGTTCAAAATATTCTTGCTCAACCTGTTGGAATGTGACAGCAAGGAAAGTGACTTCTCTGCTCCTCTTATTCTTGGAAAGTACTCAGCATCAGCAGAACTGTGGCGAGGCCGCAGCGGCAAGCTCCGGCTGCCTGGGGTCAACAGCCGCGCGGCGGCGGGCGCCAGCGCTCCAGAGATTTGTTCTAATAGTGTTTGTGGGCAGGATATCATGTCTGCATCTTGTACTATGAACAACCACTAAGAAGACGACAATATGCAACGTATTAATTATTGAAACTGTCCTACTAATCGATTTGGACTGTGCCATTGCTATTTGTTCCTCAATAAAATAATAATAATAATAATAATAATAATTATTATTATTATTATTTTGAAAAGGCTTCTCAGTATTAGCTTCCTCTCCAGGAAGCAGTTTTTGACCCCTGGCCCGCGCACCGACGGGGCTCGCTCGCAGTTTCTCTGTTCCTCACGTGTGCTGCGCCCCCTGGCCGTGTGCTGGGGCTCCTGTCACTCGCCGCCCCTCCCGCGGTCCAGGTCAGGCCCCCACGCAGCCCAGGTCAGGCCCCGGGGTACCTGTTCTTCCGTGCTGTTGATGATGACCAGTTTCGCTCCCGCTTTCTCGCAGGCCGTCACAGAGTCGTTCCAGGTCCGTTTGGACTTGGAGAAGAAGTAACAGTTTCTCCGGAAGAATTTCCAGTCCCAGGGGCAGGGGCGGCAGAGGCGGCCTGTCGGGAGAGGAGGTTAGACTGGAGCCATCTTCACGCCCACGTCCTTCTGCCTGCCCGGCCTTCCGAGCTACGACAATTGGCTCCTCTTTTTCTTTAGGTTTATTGTTTTTGGTTTTGCTGCCAAGGAATGAATCCAGGGCTTCCAGCTTGCTAGGTAAGCATTCTGCCGCTGAGCTCAATCCCCAGCCTCACCGAGCCCCTCTTTGAAACTGCAACTTGGGAACCCACTTGCCTTTCTGCTTTGAGCCTTTCCTGGCCCCAGGGAATCCCAGGGATTAGGGCTCATGTTCTGCAGACTGGCAGAGAGAGGGCTTGGGAGACGAGAACAGAAGGCAGGAGGAGGTCTTGATGGAGTGCCCACTTCATGTGCCGGCCCCTGGGAGCGCCAGCTCTTAGCTTCGCTGTCACTTGCTGTCCCCAGTTCACCGAAGAGGAGGCTGGGGTCAGGAAATGCTCCTGAGCCATGCAAAATGACCTCCATGGCCCCTCTGGCAGGCGCCCGGAGACCCCGCTTCTGGTCCCTCACCTACTTTAAGCTGCAGCTGGGCTATTTCTTCGTAGATGTTCTCTTGCTGCTGGGTTCTGACAGCCCAGGGTCCTGTGACAAGGAAGAACCTGGGATTACTAGACACATAGTGCGCGTCATGACCTGCATGGGGCTCCCGATACCTTTCTGAGAGCCGGTGTCTTGTTTAATCCCTCTGAAGAGGGAGACATCTGACTCCCAGGGAAAATGAAACTCTGAGCAAATGGAGGCAGACACCCCACCCTGCTGCTCCTCCAGAGAAGGGGAGAGTCCTGCCGAGCAAAGGCCTAGGACCTGCTGGAGGGGCGGGATCCCAGCTCAGCCCCGTCCCCAGCTCCCTCCTGGATCTTGCTTCCTTAAAGGACCAAACCCACCATCTCACCCACAGCCCACCCTGACCTGGGACAAGGATGGCCACCAGGAGTCCAGTCAAGAGAACAAGAGACAGCAGCTGCAGAAGCAGGAGGATGGGACTATGGTCCAGGCACCCTGGAAGAAAGAGGATCGACGCGTTCTCGTAGCTAGGCACTGCTGCAGCTTGGCCCACGGACAGCTTGACCACCACCCACCTCCTTCTAAGGATGGATGATTCCGGGTCCCAGCTTGCACTTCTTCAAGACCTAAGAGTTTAGAGTCTCAGACGCTACCTCCTCAAGACCTAGGTGTGTGGGAACAGTTGTCCTACTGTGCACACTATTTGCAAAGCTGTTGAATCCAGTTGAGGCTGAACCACAGCCGTTCATGCAATATCTGGTGTCAATAATCAACAGCTCCTTCTCTGAATAGACAGAGTGTCTGTCAGAGACCAGGGAGGCTCAGACCTGAACTGCTCCCCCCGCCCCGTACCCCTTTCCCACTCACCCAGATTCCTACCCAAGCCTCACCCAGGGGGCCGAGATGCTCCTCCCTTACTTCCTTTGAGATATGCATGTTCACTGCTGTCCCTTGGTGCTCAGGACCACTAGGGAAAAGAGCTACTACTCCCTGCCCTGTATCCCCCTCTTGTCTCTGTTCTCACTCAGATAGAGAATGGAGGAAATGAGTGTCACCACAGGAAGCTGCTAGCAGGAGGGGCTGAGCCCCACCACCACGGCAGGGCCCACTCACTGCAGGAATTTCATGCTGTACAGGGACGTGTGGGGGCCGTGGTAGAGGGACTGCTCCCTCAGGGCATGGCCTAGCTCTGGGGCCATTAACTTGTTTATGATCCCGGGTCCTGGGAGCAGAGAGTACAAGCACTTTGCCCCATCTCTCCACCTTTAGTGTGTGGGTAGCGGTGCCTCCCGGTGTCGCTGTCCCATCTAACCCGGACTTGCTGCCTTGATGTGCTGGTATTCTAACTTCGGGTGAGCTCTGCCAGCAGCTTGGACTGAGTCTATCTTGCTCTTACATTCATTTTCTTTTTTAATACTAGGGATTGAGCCCAGGACTTCTACACTGAGCTACATCCCCAGCCTCTTTTTGTTTTACGAACACATGTGTGTAGGCCATGAAGCTTACAGCTGTCCCTTCTGATCCCCTTCCTATGCACCTCCTCCTTCCATCTCTAACCCTTCCCCCTTTTCGTTCTTCTTATTACTCTTCATTCTTGTTTATGGCATGTAGTGTTTGCATTCATTGTGGTATTTGGTACCCGGGCAGGACGCATCTTAACTGGTCTTGTTTCCCCTTCTCCTCTCCCGCTCCTCTCACCCTTGGTGTCTTGGACACTGTTCTACTTACCAGAGACTCCTCCTGTTTTCTTCTAGCTGTCCTTCATTTTGCTTTTTATTTGTATTTTTTGCAACTCATATGAGAGATATGATATTTAAACTTGTGTGTCTGGTTTATTTCACTCAACATTACATTTTCCACTCCCCCACCAAAGTTCTGGGTTTATGCTTCTTTACAGCTGAACAGCGTTCTGTTATGTACTAGTGCCACATTTTCTTTTTTCATGGTACCAGGGATTGAACTTAGGACCTTGCGCTTGTCAGGCAGGTGCTTGTGTTGCTGAGCTGTCTTCCTGGCGCCAAGTGCCACATGTTCTTTATCCATTTGTCCACTGATGCCAGGACTTGGCTACTATGAGTGGTGCTACTATAACCATTAGTATGTGTGCACTGCTGGAATACGACATCTTCCTTGTTTTGGGAAAATGCCTCAAAGAAGAATAGCTGGATCAAATGGAATTTCTCAGTTTAGTTCTTCTTGCCCTTAACATTGCGCAGCACTGTCTTCTGACCTTTGTTGTAAAGCTTTGGTGCAGTTATAACCTTAGCACGTACTGAAGTTCAGGTGCAGATCTACAAAGTTTGGATTTATCCAGCTGTGCCTGGCTTGGGTCTGGCTGCTGTGCTCGCTCCTTCCTGCTGCTGCCCTTGGGGGTGAACCTGTTGTACTCCTCTGGCAAGATGTTCTGCTCCTGGACTAGCTGGGTGGTTCTATCCTCTACACTCTCTGCAGGGATTGCGTTGCAGGGTTTCACCCCAGGCCTGTATGCCAGGCCTGAGCTGAGCCTGGAAGGGGCAAGGTGGAGTAGGGGGGAGAGGCAGCTCTCCCACACACTCACTGGGCCTGGGCCAGGACTGGATCTGGGCGTTCCCGGAACATGGCAGAAATTCCTACCCTATGTGCAGGGTGTGTGGGGGTACTACTGATTGATGGGGGGCATCCCAAGCGGTTTGAAGAGGGTTTCACCCACGCTGCACCTGGGCTGGAACCAGTAGTAGGTCCCACCGGCGCAGGGTAGCCGGAAGCTCTCACTCACCGGGCCTGGGCTAGGACTGGGTCTGGGGGTTCCCAGAATGCCTCCCTTAACATTGATTTGAGATAAGTTCTTGCTAAATAAGCAACAGGGGCTCAAACTAGCAATTGGTCTCCCTCAGTCCCTTAGAGGCTGATATCTCGTCTATGCTTGCTGTAGATAGGGAATTTTTCTAGTTGTTTTACATGTTCATTTGTTCAAGCTCCCAGGGCCATGGTAGATATTACAAGGTCTGGTTTATGGTTGTAAAAAACAGAGACACAGAAAGGTTTAGTTACTGGTCCAGACATAGATGATGAACGATGATGCTGGGATTCAAGCCCAGAATCTGCCCTCCACAGGGCACTGTAAACTTACATTCATGACTTACCATTCAAAAGGCCATGACTGAGTCCTTAGTATAGGGGAAAATATTTCTCTAGGGAGAGAGCAGATCCTGGACGATGGAGCCTATCCAGGGCAAATACCATTTTGCATGAAGGTTGAAGGCAGAGGGCTTGAAGGAAGTTGTACAAGACTCGGCAGGTAGGCAGCTACCAGGGTAGGTACAAATTCTAGTGTAGGAACATCTTTCATGTTATCTGCTGTAGACACATGGTGTTATGGTTTGTGTCTAGTCTTGCTGCAAAGTTAATGGGGCAGGCTTCTAGAGTTTGTGATTAATCTGTGATCCAGTGCTGGGATTATGGGTGCGAGTGCTGCTGGGATTATGGGTGTGAACGCTATGTCCAGGGATATCCTGAGTGCAGTACAAGGAAGCGAGAGAGAGGCTTGCCCTCTGCCACTGTGGCAGCGGTGGCTGCTGCTCCTTTTTTGTTCTTGCTGCTTGTGTCCTTTTCCACCACCATGAACTGCTACCCTCTGCTCTGTGCCACCCTGCTGTCCAGCCAGCCAAATATGGACTGAAATCCCCACAAACTATGAGCTAAATAAACCTTTTCTTCCTTAATTTTGAGCATCAGGTACTTTGTCCCAGCCATGAAAGAAAAGTAACTGAGACATGTGGCTTCCTGTTATTTGCATCTTCTGTTTGTTTTTGAGGCAGGATCTGGTCACGTAGCCCTGGATGGCCTTAAGCTCGCTGTAGCCCAGATTGGCATCAACTCTGGCTGACCTCCTGCATCAGCCCTCTAAGGACTGGGACTACAGGCATGTGCCACCACGCCTGGCTCTTATCTGCATTCTACCAGTTGTTCTACCAGATTATCTTTTCTGTAACTCTAACTTTGCTGATTAAGAAGTCTTATGACTCTTGTCTTTGAAATTCCATTCTCTGGCATCACTAATTCTGCAGTTGGTAATTAAGCTAGTAAAAGGATTTTCCCCTGGAGATTAGAAGAACATTGCAAAAGTGTTCTTTTTCCTGAGGGATGGGTGAAGAAACCATTTTCTGGACAACAGTTTTAAACCATTAGATGACTGCAATCTAAGGATTCCTTACGACAAAGCTAGTAATTTACCCTATTCCCCACATCCGTCCTTCATGATCTCAATAACAATGTGTAACCCCACTATTTAACCTGAAAAATTTAGTGCTTGTTATGGAGTTCAATCAATTTCAAGTGAAGCAAGAGGGTGGACTTCAGTTTTTCTCCAGTAACACACAGTCATTGCTGTGACTCCAGGAGAGTCACAAAATCTGAAGGAGACAAAAAGGTTCTTGGATGCTTTATTCAGAATTGCTCTGCATGGGAGCAGGACACGAGGCCAGCAATAGAAGAAAGGGGAGAAGGCAGCACATCCGTGGAGTGAAATGGCGCACAGCAACGCAAAAGCAATGTAGTGACGTGTTCACCACGGGCACAACTGTACACGGCAGTGCCAACCCCTGAGCTCACCGAGGAAGGGTGTCTTAGTTACTTTTCTCTCGTTGCTGGGATGAAACACCCAGTGCCCATGGTTAAAGAAGGAAATGTTTATTTAGCTTACAGTTTGTGGAGGTTACAATCTGTAATCAGTGCAAGCAGAGGCAGGGTAGCATGCTTCCGGGTAAAGAGTTCAAGACAGCAGAAAATAGAAAAAGCAACAAGAGCAAATTGGGGGAGGGCAATAAGCTTTTACTTTTTAGAAAATGTATTTAGTACAGAGTCTACAAGGTCTCACTACATAGATTGGACTCATAGTGATTCTCCTGTTTTTCAGTCTCCCAAGCGCTGGGATTACAGGGGCACACCATGCCCAGTCTCAATCGCCATCTCAGCGTGCCCCAGGGGTGGGGCCAGCATGTCACACTGAGGATCGAACTCCAGTCCCTGCGTCTGCCTAAGCAGGCACTTTAATCTGCTGAGCTATCTGGCCGGCCCTCCAATAACCTCTCCATCCCTTACTTTGTACACAGGCTATCTGCCTGATGGTGGGTGTGGCACTCACACCATCTTCATGCCCTCCTTTTGCCCAGACTCAAGATGTTTACAAATTGAGGGCTTTCCCTGACCCCCTACTGAGTTACTCAATTAAACTTCTGAGCTTCTCAAGTTGACACAATGAATGAACTACTACAATATCCCAGCGATAAACAGCCACTCTAGGGCATGTCCTCTAGACCCTAGGATGCAGAGCTGCCAGTCCATATAGTTAAGCTTTTAAACTTCAGAAGTTGACCCAAGAAATCAGTAATAACAAAGGTGGGTCAGATGAATGGAACATACCCAGATCCCTGGTCACTATAAGAGATGTAAATCAAGTATGGTTGTGCCTGTCTGTAATCCCAGCATTTGGGTGACTGACTCAAGAGGATCACCACCACTCTGAGGCCAACCCGGGCTACATAAACAAATCCAGGGTCAGTCTGAACAATATAGTGAGGCCCTGTGTCAAAAAGAAGAAGAAGAAGAAAGGGGAGGAGGAGGAGGAGGAGGAGGAAGAGAAGAAGAAGAAGAAGAAGAAGAAGAAGAAGAAGAAGAAGAAGAA